TGAATGCTATGTCTTGATCTCATCACCTTGAACACGCCTAACCCAACTTCCCATTGCACGGCACGTCGAGGTAAGTGATGCATCAGCATGCGCAGTGCATGTCCAAGTCACTTTAGTCGACTACGGTTCACAATCTTATTGAGTGATCAAAACCCTGTAATGGCTTCATGTCTCCTACTTTTAATGGCAATGTCATACAGCCGTACAACAGGCAATTTCCACATGTAATAAATGTATCACCAACACACTTGGAAACATTCTTTAAATTTCAACGAAAGAACAAAATACTGGAAATTCATCTCGAAAAATTTATGAGTAAGAAAATGTAGTGATGTTTGTCTCATGGTATACACATGTACCTATAATTGGCAGATATCAATAATACCGGCTTATTGATGACAAAAATAAGATACTCCAACCTGCTATACCTTTTTTATGAAACCACACAGTATGGTTAGTTATCGTTTGAATGATGATAATACACTGCCTGAGTTACAGCAACATATTCATCGACAAAATTGGAGTTTGATGAGTCAGTAGCCACTTAAAGATGCTGGTGAAGTCAACAGTAAGAAGAACGCGCTCGTCTTCTATAAATATTGTCAGACAGAAAGAGAGGTGCTCTTGAAAAGTTTTGTTAACATCATGAAAGCTCTATATGAAGTCATAGTGTGAACAATGTTGACGTTGGACGAAGAGAACTGGGCAAATAGGCAAGTCGATTGATGAAATTGTCAATCTTCTTAGGCTGAAGTGGTTTGGACATGTACTATGCATGTCGATTCACCACTTACCTCGACATGCTGTGCTACGGGGAGTTGGATTAGGGGGCGTTCAAGGTGACGAGACCAAGATATGGCATCTGTCGATGTAGCCTTTTTCCATTGACTTGAGTCGTGTGAGATGTAGACTGCCTGGTTGGTTTTCACGAGACGAAAGGAATCAGTGGTTGAGAACTCTGGTGACATAGGTGAAAATCGGTCACGATGATGCAGGTGTATTCACTGCTTGACATGTTTTGAAGCTTGAATATTAACACTAACGTTTGTCTACTTGATATCAACCTTTCTTATTCACTTGTTCTTTAAGTATTATAGTGAAGTGTAACAGTTTGAAGAAGAGCACACGTGTGCACGACTCCATGTCGATTCTATCTGAATGTTTATATGAAAATATTTCAAGTAGAGTTCGAGTATACAATCACCTCACCTAACTGTTCCAAGCTAACGGTGAAATTTGGTTAAGTTGTTCAACTTCAGTATTTTTACTTACATTTGCAGTCGACCCTCAGCATTAAAATGCGACTTAGCAATAGTGTACAATGGTCCAGGTTTTCACATACCTCGAAACAAGATACAAGGTATTTAAATAAGCTACAGAGAAGGGGTTATGTTGTCACACGGGAATTCAACTGGGAAGTACACATTTACATACACGGTACAGATCAGCAGTCAGAGACTTCAATGCTGCATTTTAATCTGTCGCCTCTGACCCATTTCGGGCTAAATCTTGTTCTAGAGTATATTGTACACCAGAATACACGGTGACTAGGCTAAGTTCCACCTATCTGAGTCAAGGAGATTTTAAAAACTCATCAGTTGACTAACATTTTCTACTTTGCTAACATGGAGGTGCCAAAACCCAAGGCCAATTCTAGAAAGATAATGGTGGTCAAACTCTTCAAACTTTCCAATGTCCTCTAACTATAACGGTGACGTCACGTAGCCATACAGTAGAATAAAGCGAACTACAGCGCAGTACACAAGGTCTTTACTAGGCAGTCGATTTTTACGGGGACCCCATAGCTGGTTCAAGTTGGAGGAGACCGGATGAACCTTTTGTATCCCTGCAGAGATTTTTGCGGTCACTAGGCAATCACGGTTTATCCGACCACACAAGTAAGTGGAATGACCAACGCACCCAAACACTTTATACCCGACTGCTAAACGAGGCGCCAATGTAGACCAGTTCTGAGGCTACAATTTGCATTTGGGTGATGAGAAACGCATTCCAAACATTCTCGAAATGCCAGTAAAGGTGTCAAGAAGATTACGCAACTTTTCGGTGTCTCACATAACAGGATCATGTGACTTGTGTACCCTGGGGCTACGAAGGTTAATCGAGTAAAGTCAGACCTTCATAAAAACGTCTGCAACAAAGATAAATAGAAATGCCGAGAGTTCATTTCATTGAATGACACCACTCAACTCACTATATACCGCTAAATTGCACACGACCGTTCAAATAGATAGCCTATAGTGGGAGATGTAGTTAACTAGCACCCTGTTCAGTAAAAGACACTGACATACTTTTTGAACGAGAGCCAAGCACAGCAAGTATCGGGAACCTATAAGTAAGGCTGAGATCCCAAACTTGGCAGAGAGCCAGATAGGGCAGGTACATCTACGGTCAGGCCTGAATACCCATCTGGGCTTTTTCGACTTGCTGTTCCCAACCTCACTTAACCATCTGATGATAATACCAACATTCCACTCATTTTGTGACTGGAAGGTCAGCAGATGGAAACCAGTTGAAAAAGTAAGCCTATTGTTTCAGGTATCTTCCCTGTATCTCCCCAATAGACTTATTAGACGTTAATTTTTTCATCCTAGTTCCCTCTGTAAGTCTACATAACTGTCTTTGTTGTGCATCGCCGTTGTCTCCTCTATCTCCATAGCCTTTGTTATTGTGTAAATTGTAAGTTTATATTGAAGTTGCTTCTGATCCTCAGTGTGTACGGGACCTGTAGAAACTTGCTCAGGTATATCCACCATTAATTTAGAAGCGACTGAGACTCATTAGCGTCTTCTAACCTTTTGGGGGTAGGGTCAGTTACGGTCTTTAACGCTGTTTTTACACCGTACTATAGATGGCATCAGCTTTCATCAGGATAAGTGACACCATTCTGCTACAGTGAATAACTAACCAGTTTCTTTAAGAAAGTAACCTGGAAATATTCTTCCAGTCGAAGTTTACATTCATTTATTTAAATGCAGGTAAGTGTGCTCAAACCGACACATGATCACTGTCTAAGTATGCGTTCATAGTGAAGACGTAACTTTCTACTAACACCCCCCAGCAACAATTGAGAGCGATATGATCAATCGTTTAGTTGAGGTCCATTAATGCAACGAAGAAAAAATCTTGCTTCATGTCTGAAATTCTTGTCCGTCAGATATGAATGGTTGTTTAAGCAGATGTAGAAGGAGGTCGTCATATATCATTCATGCGGCTGATATTTCAAAAGTACCACCATGTGGTCTCCTGTTTGGATTAGCCTACTTGCTTGTGAACCCAAGTCACGTTTGAACGTTTAGCATTCAGTATGAAGATACACCATTTACGGAAGAACTCATCTTTCATTTTATACGAAATGGAGTCAGTAGGTGTGTCGAGCAAAGTAACAAAGAAATAATGGCAAGTTACAATATTTCTATCAGTCCTCACTGCACAATTCGGTCAAACAGAAAACTTACAAAGATCAAGTAAGGTCTAGTTGACCAATGCACTATTTACTTTTGGACTTCATGCTATATCCATCCCCTGAAGGCAATAAAAACTAGTCATCACGTTTCCAGAAACTCGAAGTGTGAATTTTATAGGTTTACTGTTTTGATCATCGATGATCTTCATGATTGTGGTCGACTCAACTTGACTGGATCATGCAACAAACTGTGAGCAGAAAGATGAGCGTACAATGTCATATGTCACACAAACTAGACGATCTACAGGTGAAAACTAACAAGTTCGCAAAAACAGGCGAGGTAGCGAAGACAAGACTTCCTTCAGGTGAACGTAGACAAGACATAAGTGATGAAGATACACAACCAACAACAACAACAACAAACACCATCAATGAAAGAAATCTAAACGAAGTAGTCTCTTCCATCTACCTACCTACCTACCTACCTACCTAGGCACCATCGTCTCAACTACAGCTGCCACAGGCACACATGACGATGTCAAAACAGCCACGATCAGAAAGACAACAAAACAGGCCATCTTTCATTAGTCTGAAACAACCAGTGTGGAGATCTACTACACCACACTGCACTCAGTATAAAGCGTCAACAACATCCCAATTTTCAACATAATTCAATCAAGTCAGTCAGTGCTTCCACGCGATGGTTGAGAGACTTGGTGCATTACGAAAAGCATTTCCAACAAACTACACACATATATCACATCAACAGCTACCGCCTACGCTCACTCGATACTGACACTGGAGTTCAGATGACCAGTATAATGAGAATAAGGAGGGAGGAACTCTGACTGACTGACTGGCTGGCAACGAACCAATGAAGCAAGAACCTATCACCCAACAAATATGCAGAAGGAGAAAGTGGAGATGGATTGGATTGAATTGGACATAGACTGAGAAGATCATTTGGGGACATCATGCGACAGGCCAGACCAGGTCGTTGAGTGGAACCCAAAGGCGAAACGAAGAGTTGGGAGTCCGAGGCGGGGGCGACATGAAGGAAGAAATGAAGGTTTATGGGTAGTCGTGGAGACAGGCTGAATGACTACAGACAAGAGATTGAAATGGCGACGTGCTAATGAAACCCTATGTTCCACTAGGAACCCAAGGAAAAAATAATAAAAATAGCGTACTGATCAGGTGAATGGTGTTTGTTGTTGGTGGTTGGGTATAGACTACAATATAAACATGAACGTCTCAGCATGTTTATGTTGCCAACAGTCACAGCAGAGGAAGGCTACTAACGATAGTTAGTCAATCCACTCAGCGACAGAAGAAATTAAGCTTTTTGTTTGGTTGTGGCTAGCAGAGAAATACAGGATGCGCATCTCGTCCTATTTTGGACTCGTCAGCTGGATGTACCTGTACCTCAGTGAATGATGTTGTTCTCACTGAGACCGGAACCTCGTATCCATCGCTTCAAACGCCAAGGCTTTATTCAGGCAATATCGAGGCATCCGGATAGCAGCCTATATGCCAACAGAGGTCGAACAATTCGATCCAATAAAACAATGAAGAATTACAAGCACATGAATAAATAGTAATAAAAATAAGGTTTTTGTCTACAAAATTAAATCGAATCAACAATAGATTATGAGTAGTTAGCAACCATCCAGTAAATTGTTTAGAAGTTCATTAAATACAATACTTAAACGAGAGAAATATTCATCAATTTATTCCACATGCGCTAAAAAAAAGGTATTCTCATATATCATTTTCAAAAATCCTACATGAGTACTTACAAATAAATAAGTAGTTAATTTATTAATTAGGTAATTAACTAGGGTGAAAATTTCTAAAATAGGTTAAAACATCTTTCACTCTAATTACGTTACAGCTTATGATAGGTAGATTTACCAAGTTATATATATGAATTATCACGAAGAGTAAAAACTAGGCAATACCAACCATTCAATCAATTATCAAGAATACCACACACTACAGTCCTTACGCATCACTAATAAATCATCATGAATTCGATTTATTCAAAGATGTCGGAAATAAGCATTTCGCAGGCATAATTGCATGATTATCACTGTTCTTCTCCATGTGTACATTAGTTTGGATAGCCAGTGGAGTTCTTTTATCTAACGATGTACAACTATACACCTCATCCATTAATCGAGCAGGTAGAATTGGAGATAAATCAGGACTATGAAATGAGATATCATTGTAACGAACATCTGGACTAGTGCTACCACAACGAACATGTAGTTGACGTTCATGTTCACCTTGTTGTTGAAAGTGTTGTGGTGAATTCATTTGAGATGAACAATAATCAATACATAAATGTTTCGATTTGTAATTATTACAATCATTATCTATAGCATCATCATAAGATGTATAAATATTTTTATTGGTACGTTCAATTGCGGTTCGATTCAAGGTATGCATACTGACTGAATTATCTGAAATGAGGAAACAAAAAGAAACATCCGTAAAAATAATGCATATAGGTTTATAAACGATAAAAAGATATGCAGTTCTACGACAAAGGCAAGATTAAAATAGAATGTTTCGTTTATGCTAGTTAGGGTCGCATGTACTGCACACCAATCCTCTCTGTTCTACTCTATTATCCTGCGACTGCCTACACAAATCGTGTTTATTTACACAACTGTTTATTTCAAACTGAGATTCATCATGCACTGAAATAACTTGGAGAACCGCTAAATAGTTGAGAGCACCGCCTAACTATTTTATCCCAGTAGTAGACAACACAGCAGTGAGGTGAGATTTCCCGAAGTGGTAACTAGATGTCGTGGATCGTGGGGCATACCAAATAGGATATGGGAACAAATCTTCAATACTGACATTGAATGAAGGTTGCACTATATTGCAAATTGACAAAAGTGAGATTTCGACCAAATTTCTCATTGGTAACAAGTTCACAGTGAAACCTGAAGGTCTCGAGTTCCACTCATGGCGAGGTCCTGGGTGTGCATTGTTGAAGGGTCCTACAGCAATATGAAACAACTTTCTAGTGCTCCTATGTTTTCAATGGTCCCCCAACTGATATCAGTCTGTGATGAGTACAATAAAACCCCACCAATCCTCCAAAATGAACAAACGTTTACATCATTTCTATCCCTCAAACAAAAGAGGATTTTCACAAAAAGTATCGAAAATATTCTTATTTTTTATTAATGATGGATAGTGGCTAGCAGGGGAATCAAGATTGATACGTGTTTCATCCTATTCGGGACTCGTCGGCTGGATGTACCTGCCTTTCAAGTCAGCCACGTTGTTCCCACTAAGACTAAAAACCACAATCGATCGCTTCAAACAACAAAGCATTATCTACTAGGTGACCGATCACTTATATCCTTTTAATAACTGGCTAATGCAAACAACAACATAATAGATATTCCCTTAGCATGTTGACAGACAGATCTTTTAATCTGTCAGTCGCATCATGAAAGTACTCAGATTTTATTTAGAGTCGATATTCCTAAGGTTTAGAAGAAAATTATTTAAACAAAGAAACGGATTAGCAACTGGTTCTCCGGCGTTCTATATAGTTGCATACCTCTTCATACCTCACGTTGACGTTGAATCCATGATCTTTGCTAATGCCATGAAACCACGTATTCGACTCACATATGTGGATGATACATTCTCAGTTCAAAAAACATCAACCCTGAGAATTACTCGTAAACTTATCAATACTCATTCTCTGTATATATCAAAGTCACATAAATATGAAACTACAAATGGTGAACTACCATTCTCCAACTATTCCGTTGAAAGGAATGGAAATGAAAGTCTAAATATATTGACTTATTGTAAAGTAACATATTCAGATGTGATATCTTGATTTCAACTCAGTGCTAAACTTTCACTTGCTTGGAACTTATTCAAGAGGGCCACGAAACTCATCACAAATGAAGGTGATAGACAAACGTATGTAAGAAACACAACAGATATATTACATTCTAATAACTAAATCCCGAAAATGTTGTTCAAGAGATTAAAAACCATGAACAGAAGATCCCAAGAGGAAAATCAAGTGAGAACTACTGGATTAGTACAGTGATTCTACCGTTCCGCCTAGGTACAACTGAGGAGCTACAAAGGATTTCAAGGAAACACTGAAGTAAAGCCTTCTACAATACAACCAACACTGAAAAGATAGAATTCCTCCTTCTACCTCCATACAGAATTGTGTCTAGAAATTGAGGAATCATCCCACGAGATCCTTGTTCATGCTGAAGAACATCCAAGCTACACAATAAACATTCTCCAAATAATTCTGTACAACTAGAGAACTTACAAATCAAATTGGCAATCATCATTCATGCCATCTATCACAGTCACAAAATCGATATCAAAAATATCAGAATTATTCTCAAAGAATTTTTAAACTACAAAGAAAGATGGATAACTGAGATATTTCATATTGTCTTGAATCCTCATCCACTCAACAGAAAATGAAGGCCTAACTATCTGAACAACTTCCATAGTATATATATTCAAAATAACACGTTGTACACACTAACCATAGATAAACTAAAGCACATGCATACATTATCATTGCTCATAATTATATCAGTGTAATCACACTACTTTCGACATCTCCCTTTGATAGTCCTGTCACCCACCTCATATCCTTTGTTGTAATATTGGTAGTAAATTTTTCCATATCTCTGGGGTATAGGTGTGTTATATCATTTCTATTACGTGTTGACTGGGTGTTGGCTGATTCGATGAACAAAGATTCAGTAACCAATCTCTCCCTCTCTTCCACTTAATTATATTGGACAGTACAGTATAGTGGTTTTATCTCACCCACCCTATTGTGTGGTTGTATGTTAATGCATCCATTACAATAGCTGAGCGTTTTTCTAGATTATCGATCTTATTCGGGTCTGTCATTCTATATTCAGCTAAATTCCTGCGTTCGGCTATTCTAACTGACTCCGACCGGTTAGTTTCACCTATGTACTTGACCTCACATGTAAGTTGATAGATTAGATTATTTTGCTTAATTGGTTCTATCAGATCCCTAAGCCAAGCAACAAAGCATATCTGTGAGTTTGTAGTTTAAATGCCACCCTAATTCTAGCTTTGTTGACGATCCTACGTAACGTTTCTGAAATTCCTTCCAGAGAGGGTAACACAATGGTGGCTGTGAACTTCTTTCTACTCGTGTTACCGATATTATTCTTAATGGTGTTACTGTTATTATTTCGTTTCTTACATGTTCGTTCGAATTTCCTGGTAAACTGTAGAGGATAATTATTAACTATTAGTATTTCTTTTATGTACTTCAGTTCCTTGTTTAGCTCCTTGCACTAACTAGCAAGTTTTCTACCTCTATCATTTAGGCATTTGACTAAACTTGCCTTAACTGACCTTAGATGAGACGATCTGAAGTCTAGATACCTTTTAAAATATGGGAGTTTCCTGTAGACGATAATATCCAAACTACCGTCTGTCTTTCGTTTTATCCTGCAATTAAACTTAGGTTATTCTTCTTGTTCATTTTCTACCTCCTTGTGATTGAATTGAGCCTACTATAGAGTTTATATATGTAAGGAAATTGTGAATATGACGCAACACCCATACCAGAGATATGGAAAATTTTATTACCAATAAAGAGAAAGAATATGCAGTGGTAACAGGACTATAAAGAATCAAATGTAGAAAGTTGTATGATTACTTTGATATGGTTATAAGCGATAATAATTTGGCTTGAAACACCATTAAGTCATCATCATCATCATTATCAACATAGGACCAGGCATTACTGTATAACGGTCCAAGTTGCCACACCTCATATCAGCACATCAAGTAAAAAGGTAGTGAGGTGAAGGATGAAGATAAGTGAATGCAGTCAAAAGAAATATAAAGTATGAGAAGAAAGGAAAGAAGAGTGACAAAATAGTGAGATTCGGTAAATATTACCATATCACTGGCTGTGTATCACAAATCGAATAAACAAATCTAATATGGAATTAATTTCTACCACAGTGCCCAAGTTTTACACTTATATTACCATTCAAAGTTTTTTGAAATGATCTGGGTAGTTTGTAAACTAACATTTGGTTGTTTAGTACGTCACCTTCAATTGTACAGCTTCTTCCTAGCCGTTGGAATACATCCTTTCTCCACATATTTCTAAGCATATGTTTCTTTATGAATCTATTGGGATAGGCATTTTCAATTAGTGTATTAACTCAAATGGGAAATTTATAATGATATTAATCATATAATAAACGTTGAATATGAATAGTGAATTAGGGTGTATAATTCTCATACGAAAAACAAACGTATATTACATAATTCAAAGTAGAAAAAGTGCAGTGAGGATAAAGGTAATCCCCAGGTGTTATCATGCATGTTATGGGATATACAATGCTGTGCACAAATTCGCCTATTCTTGGTATGATGTTGGCACATTTTACCTAGTTGTATAGCTTCTAAACACTCTCAGTCATAGAATCATGTTTCATGCCGTTTATTCATGTGTAAAGTATTGGTTTCATTCCCACCTCCTAGTTGGGACCTAAGTATATTTATTCATGAAGAATGATGTTCACAAATCAAAGTAAGTTGATTGACTTCAAGTTGGTATCCATTCATGGACTGTCACCAATTCAAGGAACATAGGAAACCTGGAAATACTGGGCGGCTGTTTTACCCGACTACGGGACTCCTCAGCAGGGCGAACTCATGACCCCGCCCATCCCACCACAGATTGAATACAGAACCTTCACCTTCCGTGGCCAGTACGTTACCGTACTGCCACCGGCTAGGCGGAATCCAATCGTGCATATTTCCAACTATGTCAGTTCAGGACACAGAGCGACTATCACCAAATGTCATCGTTGAGTATTTGTCTTCACATCCACCAGGTTCGCCCCAACCGTCACGATTTCTTATTGGAACTTCAGGAATCACCTCTCGAAGGTATTCACCAATAAGCACTAATGCTAGCCACGGAACTTGGAGGCGCTAGGTTCGATCCCTGACAGGGCGGGGTCATGCGTGAGCACTGCTGAGGGACGAAACAGCTGTCCAGTGCTCCCAGATTTCGAATGTCTCTCCAACTGATGTCAGTCCATGATGAATACCAACTTGAGAAATTAATAAATTCCCATAAATCACTAAATTGAACCTTCAAATTGCAGCAAAAAGGACTTATGATTGAAAATTCACCTTTAAAATATATGCTTACAAAAAAGAAAATATATATTTTCTTATGAACCTACCTTGATCCGTTGCATTCGACAGATTGCCTTCATTATCTCCAGTTACATCATCACTATCATCGTTGTCATCATCATCATCATCATTATCTGAACTATCATTATTTGGATTATCAGCCCAATTGACCGGTAGACACATTTGTAATGCAGCAGTTTCTTTAACAAGTGAACAATTTGTCTCATTTGGACAAAATTTATCAATACTAAATTTCACATGAGAAATATCCATTTGTGTTGATGACAGATATGTGGAACACGCTGGTTGAATAGATGATGAGTTTGAATGACTACGACAATTATCTATATTGTCGAATGAAGTGAGTGTATTATGCTGTTCATTGGATTCATTATCACCATTTGTGACTTCATAGCTGAAATTATAAAACATAATTTTTTACTAAGTTACTAACTAACTTTCAATCAGAATTTTGATAAATACAATAGAGGTCAAACAGAACAATAACAACTGATACCCATTGCACAAGAGGTGGTTATCGTGCCCCAGTAGCCTACTGGACAAAGCTTTACCGTTCTAAACGATAGGTAATGGGTTCGAGTCCTAGTGGAAACAATATTATCCACTGAGATGCAAGGTTTATCCAGCTGACAAGTCATAAATAGGACGAAACACGCGTTCTGAATTCCACTACTGGTCATCAAGATGAATATAGTATAGTGTGATTGCTTGTATTACACCGTCGTTGATCAACGAAGTCGAAAGTCGTAGAAGGTAAGTAGTAAAACGAAAAGAGAGGGGGAGTGAGAAAATGTCAGAGACTTCAGGCAGTGATGCCAGGTTTTAGCCTGGCTGTCCCTAACTTACAGCCTACAACCGCTTCAGCCAACATGGTGCGACAAGGCAGGCAGTGACTAGTCATGCATACCATCTGAGGCGATGAAGGTTCATAGCCTTGTCAATTGACTTTCATCTTCTTCCTTAAAGTCAACACCTGATTTCTATACTACTGATGCCGCAAGTACACGGCCTACGTTAGGAAAGTGATGGTGGTCGAATACCTGAAGCCTTCTCCTTTAACTTTCAATGGGCATGTTTCACAGCCATATAGTAGAACAAAGCGAACTGCAGCGGAGTGCGCATGACGCTTAATAGGCAGTGAGATATCGCGGTGGCGATATAGATGGTGTAAATTGGTAGAAGCTAATCAAGTATTTTGTATCCATGCTGAGATCGATAATGGATGGAACCGCTCGATCTCAGCCTAGTGGATAATGTCTTGGCAGAGATGGGTACTGGGTACGAATCTCTCTAGGGAGGACATCGCCCAGTGGGGTGCACGCACCTCCAGATGATGGGTCCCAAATAGGACGAGAGGCGCGTGTTGAATTCCATTGTTATCCACCGAATGGATAGTTACGTAATGAATTATCGGGCAGTATCGAAGCATCCGCATAGGAGCCCATCTCTGCCAAAAGAGGTCGAGCAATTCGACCCAGTATAATAGCAGGAGATTATAAGTATCAAACATCGGTCACATCGACCTTATTTCCAGTAACGGTTACAACAACAGTTAGAATTGACACGTTGTATAGGGAAAATTATGTGAAATGAATGTCTTGTATTGGTAATAGAGGTCGTCACTTTGAACAATTAAAAGCAAAGCTATGAACGAAAGATGCATGTAGCTTGAGTAAGTGAAGGTTTGTAATGGTGAGAAAACTGAGGTGATCAACAAACTTCTAATAATCAGAGTAAACACTGTCAAGGTAATGACAGAAAACGATTATTGAATACCACCATTAGAAGAGATTGAGGTGCATTTGGCATTTATAAACATGCACTACTCCTAGTGATGATGAAGTAACTGAGTACAAGTCAAAGACCGAGAGTATAGTGTGCATCAGTCTGCCTTGTCCTATTGTACAACTGTGAGGTATGCCCATTGAATGTGTGCAAAATGAGGAGGCTGCACATTTCCGGCTATACCTGTTTCCGTAGTACCACGTACATACATTGGAACCACACAGAGAGCAAAATACCACTAAGTAAGATGAGTTAAGCACTGTCTAAGTCGACATCCTATCTTAGTTGAATAAGGACTATACTGGAAGAAAAAGTGGCTACACTAATGCATTGCACTAATTCATTACGTTTCTGATTGTTGATCTGAGCTATGTAGGAAGGTGAAAGCTGTCTTATTTGAAGTAATTTCAAATGATGCACTTCTTTGTAAGGTTGTACGTCGATTTATCTAACCGTCTGTCTGAGGTCACCGTGTAAAACACACAATAAAAAAAAGAGCAAAATCAAAGAGAAGGTATTAAAACACCAAGCTGAGGCATTTTATGTATCACTTTCATCTCTCAAGATATGGCTCTATAAAGTTCAACAATAGTCCATTACATTCTGCACTAATAGCAACAAAAGCTGTATGCACTAACTAAGAATCAATAGTTCATAAGTTTGGTTCATACTGGTTACAAGTGATCGAAATATGTATAAGTAATGATAAAGTTAGTTACAGAAATATTAGAATTTTAATATATATGAGCAGGAAAACTCATTCACCCATCCATTCATTCAAATCAACATAGGACCAGGCATTACTGACCAATGCTCGGTAATATTAAAGCCTGAGCAAGCGTACATAAAAAAGCAGGGTTTCATCCAGTGGATAAAAAGGAACAAACAGTGTAAATTATTTTAAAAAAGTACCTCGACTCAATTTGTTACATCCCATCATCATCACCATCATAAGACAAAGCATTACTGTCTAATGCTCCGAGTTCCCACACCTCATGTCAGTACATCAAGTAAAAAGGCAGTCAAGTGGAAGATGAAGAAAAGAAATTTCGGTCAAAAGAAATATAAAGTACGAAAAGAGAGAGAGGAAGAATAAGAAAGTGGTGAGATTCGGTATAGCGTTGTTAAGATGAGGATAATGTATGTATACATCTGCACCACTGACAACGGTTCTGAACCACATCACCTAGAGTCAGTCTCAAACCACTAGTTTCTCTTGCCCCACGGATGGACTCCAACCACCTAGTCTGCATCACCCCAAATGGCTCATACGAACAGTCAGAGACTTCACACATTGATGCCTTGTTTCAGTGTGACCACCTCGAGCCTTTTTCCAGCCTGAACCTATTTCGGCCAACATTGTGTGACGAGGCGATTGACGACTAGGCATGCTCAACACATGTCATGTTCAAGCCATCTCAGTCGATGAAGGCTCACAACAGTGTCAACTGTCTCACCTCTCCCCCCACCCCTAATACTCTACACCTGACTTCTGCGTTACTCACGTGGTCACACCACAACACACAACTTATGCTGTGAAGGCAACGCTGGTCAAACACCTGAAGCCAGCCTTCTCACGTCTTCCATCTTCAATGACCATGTTTCACAGCCATAGAGTAGGACAGAGTGGATTGATGTGCAGGTGCAGTACACACGACGCTTAATAGACAGACAATCGGATATCACGGTGGCACCATAGGTGGTGTCAGTTGGTAAAAGCCAGCCGAGCCTTTTGTATTCATGCAGAGATTTCATTGTCCACTGAGCTAGCCACTAGAGTTGATCCTACTTTCCAGGCAAGTGAAGTGGTTGACACACATCCACTACACTCACTCTCTTTTGTTAGCCACGGTGGGGCACTGTTGCAGAACAATCCTGGAGTAACAATTAGCATTTGGGTGGTGAGAAATACATCCAAACATTCTCAAACTGCCACTCAAAGTGTTCAGAAGACTCTGAATTTTGTCAGCGTCTTCACCCAACAAGACGATGTCATCTGCGTATTCTAGGTCTAATGAAAATTCTCCCGCGATTAAATGAACCTTTGTGTAGTCAGGTGACGAGAGGGAGACCTCAATAAGAGTATCTAAGATAAAATTAAATAAGAATGGAGAGAGCGGATAGCCTTGCGGACACCGTTCGATGAGTAAAAACCGGAAAACTGAAAGAATAGGATTTAATTTGGAAGACGAACAAATACCATTTTGCCCTATCTAGAATACAAAGATGAAGTAGATGGATAACAAAGACTTTAATCTCAAACTTGCAAACCTTGCACATAAGTGCATCGGTTAAACTAGCCACACTTCACAGTAGTATACAAAGAACAAGTGGATAGAAAAAGACTGATATCAAAGTAGACGAAGTTGTATGAGAGAGTAAACAATCTGAAGATAAAGGTTAGTGCAAATATTCAAGTTTTAGAAGACGTCAAAAAGCGAATACACCTGCGCCATCGTGGCCGATTTCCAGCCGTGTCACCAAGAGTTTACAAGCATTGATTCCTTTCGTCTCGGGGATATCAAGCACGTGGCTGATATCTCTAAACACGGCTCAGACCAACAGGCAGAGACTTGATCGACTGGTTCCATATTTTGGTCTGGTCATCCTGAATCCTCTCCCAACCTAATCTAACTTTCCCTAGCTTGGTGCATTGAGGTAGGCGGTGGTTCGGCATGCGCAATACATGTCCAAGCCAGCCACTTCAGTCGAATAAGGTTCACATCCTCATCAATCGACTTGCCTAGTACCTTTCGCCTAATCTCAACGTTGCTAACTCAAAAAGTTGATTCATTTAATACAGGTTTGCAATATCTACTTGCTTTGAACATCTTACCACGAAGGGATGAAAGGTAGTCAAAATACGTAGATAATCTAGAGAAAACAACTCTAGTCTTTGTGTCTATAAAGGATTTGTCCAGCTTTTACCTCTACCGTTAGCCGGGAAAAACTTGATAAAGGACTTCAAAGATAAATTCGATTTTTCACCTCTTTGAGACATGCTTATTTGCGTAGACTTTGGTTATCTACACGCTTTATTCCTTAGTATTACGTAACCTTTTTCGATCTACATTCAATGCTTAAATGCATGCAGTAGCATGCTGTTTCCACTATTTTTTACATCACTCAGATATCTGTTATCACCATTATCATTAGGGTTGTATTCATCCCAGAGTGGACAGCCATTTCGTCCTCAGCAGTACCCATCCGCGACCTCGTCAGGGATCGAACTCAAAATCATTAGGTTTCACGGTGAATACGCTATGTTGAGAATTGACAGAAGTAAGAAATAGTGGGCCGTGGAACCCCAACCTCGTAACTAAATGGTTAACGTGTTCACCCTGGAACCTGAATGTCCTGAGTTTGATCCCTGGCGAGGTAGTGGGTGGGTACTGATGAGGACAAAATAGCTATCTAGCGCTCTCAGGTTTTCAACGGCACCCCAACCGATGTCAGTCCGTAAAAATAAAATCATCATAAGTCTAAAACTACACCACTAGTATTATTACCTGCAGATTTACTATTTGTATACTTCATTTCCTTGTTACGACAGACTAAGGAAAGTCACCGTGATTGGTTCAATTTTTTTATGCATATTAGAGTAAGGGCTGAATAAAGTCAAATGAAAACAATGTAGTTCGCTGATATTTCTTCTTCTAATCCAGATGCTGATAATATAAACAGGATATTTTATAGTTTTACGCTATGTTTTCGTAGGAGAACATAGTGGTTGCTGAAATGACAAGCTGTATCCCTGTGAAGTTGTGGCTCACTGGTTTAAGGAGACGACTATCAACCATTGGATCATGGGTCCGAGCCCTGTTCTACCTACTAAGGTTTAGGCAGCCAGGCTAGTAGTATCACTAACCCTCATACAATAGATGTGATTCATTGTCTAATGCACATACGTGCACAAGGTAGTTCAGTGCGTTTCGTCGCGGTCGGATTTGAACAAGCGACTACCGGGATTTCGGGCGATGATTAAAGTGAAATGAAAACCCGGTCAACAGTCGGACCAACGGGCCGGAATTCCGGTGGTCACTGGTTCCAATCTGGTCTCGGTTCAAATTTTCATTTCACCTCCAATCATCAACCAGTATCAACACCAGTCTGCCAAACCACGGCTGCTATCTCAGTCAAAATGATAATCAAACAGTAATACAAAAGATACAAAATTTTATTTCATATATATTTATGAACTGTCACCTGCTACGCTTTGTCAGATAGACAAAACCAACACAGAACGCCGTACATAAGTGGATCCCTTAAATTGCTACACTTCAAAATAGTGCATACAAACAAAATGATTCATAATAAAGTAAAGGTGACTGAGGCGAGAGACAACTTAAAAATGAAAGTTGGTTATGGAAGACACCAAAGAGTGAATTGATGAATGATATTGTGACCAATTTTCATACACTTACTTCACCAAGAATCACTAAGCACTGAATCCTATCATATCGAGGATCTCAGATAGGTAGTTAACACCTTCGTACATGGCTAAAATCTATAATCAGAGATTTGATACACTGGTGCCATGTCTCAATCTGACCACTCGTAACTCTCTTCCAGACTAATCTGACTTCTGCTAGCGTGAGACGTCGAGATAGGCTTAGCACGTTTGTAACTGATCATATGGAAAAAGACAATGATAATTTAAAGACTCCTATAGATTATTTAGAACAAGAATGATTTGAGCAAACAGGTGTTTTCAATAACTTCGTCTTCTTCTTCAGGCTCTACACTTATAAATACATGAGAATAAATGAAATAAAACAACTAAAATAAGGCATAATGTACAATTATTACTTGATTATGAAACAGTCAATGTTTTGATGAGTGAATGGAGATCAAATCGAATTGAATGGAATGATCGAATTGTTATCAATCTAGTGTTAGTTAGTTGTGCAATGAAATCACTATTGGCAAAACAGTTACGAAATGAGTGGACAAAATCTAAAAATAATGATACATTTATATACAATTATTTAGGGATTAGTGTGTGTGTTTACCAAGCGTAAAAGAATAATTATATAATGATAACTTATATTAAAGTGGGTTGAAAAGTATGCGAATAATACTATAAGAAAATAGGCAATAACAAATGTGAATTGTTTTGTCACAGTTGCAAATGACTACCAGTTGTTGTTCTTAGTGGAACATAAGGCTTCAGCAGCATGTCTCCATTGCATACTCTCTTCTCTCCAGTCCTTTAAACCTGGCTCCACTACTGCCCACAAGCTTTCTTTCCTTCCCCACATAATCTCCTACATTTCACCCCTGCCTCAGACGCCCAACTAGTCGTTTCCCCTCTGGATTCCACTCGAGAGCCTGACCTGACTCATGATGTCTCCGAATGGCCTCCTCAGTGTATGCCCAACCCATCTCCACTTTATTCTACTGCATATTTGTTGGGTGATAGGTTCTCGCTTCATTGGTTCGTTGCTCGGCCAGAGTTGCTTATTGCTTATTTTTATTATTCTGGCCATCTGATCTGATCTGATCTGATCTTCATTATGGAGTAAGCGTAGGTGGGAGCTGTTGATGAATGAATGTGTGTAGTTTGTTGAAAATGCTTTTCGTGGCGTCCCAATTTTGTGAAATATACTATACAGAAGCACTGAATTGACTGAACTTGACTGCTATTGAAAATCCGGTTGTTGTTCACACTTTATGCTGAGTGCAGTAGATCTGCACACTGATTGATTTCAGATCAATGAAAGTCTGTCTTTCTGATCGTGGCTGCTGTGACACCGTGGTGTGTGCCTGTGCCTGTGCCTCCTGTAGTTGAAATGATGCTTTGCTGTCTTGCCTAGGTAGGTGAGAGAGACAACTTCCTTTAGGTTTCTCCCGTTGATGGTGATTGTTACTTCTTCTTGTTGTTGTTGTTGTTTGGTAGTGGTGGTTGGGTATCTTCATCACCTGTGTGTCTTCTCTACGTTCACTTGAAGTCGTGTTTTCGCTACCGTGTTTCTTCTATCAACTTGTTGGTTTTTACCTGTAGATCTTCGAGTTTGTGCAACAAGACATTGGACATAAGTAGTCATCATCATTGGCGAAATCCAAATGTTCTAGGGTGTTTTCATCGATGCAGCCAGTGTATGGCTATCTTCTCTCTCCTTACAGTTTGTTGCATGATGCATTCTACCACAATGAGGAAGATCATGGGTGATAGTAGGTGGCAGCCTTGTCTTACTCCTGTCCCCTGTCTTCACTTCAAAAGGTTCACTGAGCTTTCCATTGTGAATCACTTGTCATTTGGCGTCCTCATATAGCTGTTGAATGAGGTTGATAAAGATTTGTGGCACCCCATGGTGTTTAATTAGCTGTCAAATTACTTCTCGGTGAACCAGCTAGTTACTAGTGAACTAGTTAACCAGGCAAAGTTAATGACTTTCAGTAGTGGTATGAATAAAGAAGTGCATAAAACTAATAACATAAAAAAATGGGTGTTTATTAGAAGACAGAGTTTGAAGCGAATACATACTTTCGGTAATTTATCACAATGGGAATACTCAGGTCAATGTTTATCAGGGTAATGACAATATGGAAGAAAGGAATAGGAAGTTAAAATGTGGTATTTGTGGTAGAAACGTTCATAAAGAGCATGTGCCCCTAGGTAAACAAAGTGAATATACATATTTCTTTTGAACACATCAGTAGGGTTTTCTTGTGTTGATATCCATGGCTTCAGCTATGGATAAGATGCGAAGTTGTGAAGATTTAGGGAGACTGAAAGGGACACGGTGTGTCATAAAAAAGGCGTGATCTACCTTGATCTAATGTCTGATATCTACTATGTGTGAGAGGAGTGTACTGATAATGCTGTTTGTTATTAATTTCCCTAACCGAGATGGTACATGTTAACGAGCGCACGTGGATACAGCTCTTTGAGTACAGTCTACGTAACTAGCTCCACAGGAGCAGCTGAACTCATAAATGAACATTGAAGTGGCCATCATTGGTAACCTATTACTCGGTTCGCTGTGTCAGTAATGGTTTGGTTGAGAAGCTGATAAAAAGTTTCGCTGCATTGAATATCTTTTCGACTGATTTACTTAATGGATGTATTAAGATATCCGAGGTAATATCACCTTTGAAACTTAGTCTAGAATGTATACGCTTTTTAGCAATATTATCTTCCTTTATCACCTCTCTAGGTTTCAACATGTGCTTATTTATGAAGTTTAGCGGATAACCATTTTGCTACAATGTTATCTTTATTCATAACGCTACTGGTGGTCATTTACAAGCGTGACGTAACAATTCACATTTATTATTCTCTATTCCCTTATAGTATTATTCATATAATTTTCACCCCACTCGAATATAACTCATTACTACATAATTAATATTTGACACTTAAGTAAATACACTCACTCATACCCCCAGGAAATGTACCACTGTATTGATGGATAGCGGATAGTAGTGGAATCCAGGATACATATTTCGTCACATTTGGGATTCGTCAGCTTGATGAACCTGTCTCCCAGTGAGTGATGTCGTTCCAACTCGGATTCGAACTCGGAAGCGACTGCTTCAAACGCCAAGGCGTTATTCATTACACCACCGATCCACGATAACCATCATTACTATAATTAGGACACAGATAATATTGAGGCATCCGCACAGGAGCTCATATGCCAATCGACACCGATCATTCGGTCCAATCGACGACGGTATAATATAAGCAATAATACTAAAATGTATCATTATTTTTAGATTTTGTCCACTCATTTCGTAACTGTTTTGCCAATAGTGATTTCATTGCACAACTAACTAACACTAGATTGATAACAATTCGACCATTCCATTCAATTCGATTTGATCTCCATTCACCCATCAAAACATTGACTGTTTCATAATCAAGTAATAATTGTACATTATGCCTTATTTTAGCTGTTTTATTTCACTTATTCTCATGTATTTATAAGTGTAGAGCCTGAAGAAGAAGACGAAGTTATTGAAAACAACTGTTTTGCTCAAAATATAATTTGATTCTGGGGGGTTAATGAGGATTTACCGATGGTTCAAGTTAGCATTCATTGCGGACTGACATCAATTATTTTGTCCTAGTATGCGACTCCTCAGTAGTGCGCAGCCATGATTCCTCCTCCCCACTACCACCAAGGATTGAACCCACCACTCTCACCTTCAGTGACCAGCACGTTCCTACTGGAGCCACTGGCTCAGCAGAATGCAATCCGTCCATGTTTACAACCATTACAAAATGTCATAGTTAAGCATTTGTCCTCATGTTTACTGTCACAACTTCTTATTAGAACTTAGGGAATGACTTCTCGAGGCTAGTCATCAATGAGCACTAGTGCTGGCCACGGAACCTGAAGGTCCTGGGTTCGGTCCGTGGTGGAACGGGCGGAGTCATGGATATGCACTGTTACGGAGTCCTATAATAGGATGAAACAGCTGTCCAGTGCTCCCAGGTTTCCAATATCCTTCGAACTGATGCCAGTCCATGATGAATACCAAATATAATTTAGTCGTTATTGACTTTTCAAGATTAAAATAGATAGTTATTTTTGTACGAAATACCATCAATGAACACCAAATAAAAGTTTGAATACATTTATACACTTACATAAGTTCATCATTCATTTCAGATGAATCTGAGAAGAGACTACGTCGACTTAGCCAATGACGTGAATTTTTACGATATAATGTTGAAGAATTATTTGTATTGGAATTCAAGGGACGATGAACTGAACAAGCTGATAGAGAGATATTACTAGTTATTGGAGCAGATTTTAGATGAGAATGTGATTTGTCATGTTCAATAACTTCATTGGAATTATTTAATATACGTGTTAATTTGACTAGAGATTTATCAATGCATAAATTATTAGTTGAATGATTTTCTTCCAAAGCATTACGCATAATCGATTCAAAGTCGAATGATGGAGGCATAGAGATAGCTGTCTGTACAGCAACTAAAAATACATAAGCATATAACAAAGAGAAAACAGAAACTTAAGTAAAATGTATAGGAGATATTTCATTGTTCATAAACGCCAAGAGGATAGCAAGAACGAAATGTCGATCATAGTTCTGTTCTAAGTTTATTCACTGTCTGTATACAAGACACATCCTCGTTCATCTTGCTTTTCATATAATGTTCCGGACCGTATACCATTTAAACACCCCTGATCTATAGATTTTCACACTCATATCAGACTGATCCAAAAAGTGGACACTTATTATGCTCATTCCAGGTCGACATATCCAGTGATGCAACCAGAGAAACTCACATGATAGAAAAATTGTTCAAAGTAACTGATTTGTAAACCACGCCTGGTTAACTAGTTCACTAGTTACTACCCGCTAATAAGCCCGGGTAAACAGGAAGGTTGAGCATTCGACTACCAACCTTACTCCCCCCAAAACCAATTCAATACCTTAACAAACTTCAAAGCACAAACAAAATATATAAAATAAAAACAAACTCATTCCTCCCTGCAATCACGGAGACAAAATGACGCCGGTTCGTCAAAGCTTTCGCAAAGCCAGTCGGAAAACGTGTCTTCGCTTCTATCGATAAAAGAGAAAGTTACAATGGGCACATGGAATGTCCGCACAATATTCGAATCAACCAAGGCTGCACAGATTGCAAAAGAGATGAAAAGGTATACCATAGAAGTGCTTCAAATCTGAGAAAATAGGTGGAATCGAAGTGAACTCTTCAAACTTCCAACTAAACAGTCAATTATCTACTCCCACATCGTCACCCAGACGACAACCACGAACACACTGAATTTTCAACTGGCTATCATGATGTCCCCTTAAAGAGCATCGATCACTCCCTCTCATACACTCGGAACCAATCTCCTCCTGCAGCATCATGATAGCAAAATCGATTCAACTCAAAAACAAGGAAAGTCATACAATCATACAATGCTACCCTCTCTGCACCTACGACCAACGCAGATCAAGAGAAGAAGGAGGAATTCCACAGATAACTACAATCACTAATGCACAACACCACACCCTACATGGTGACATCAAAATTCATTCGAATGGGTGAGCTGACATGAATGCCAAACTCGAAGTGGACAACACAGGAAGAGAACCAATACCAATCATCAGTCGACAAGCACGCGGTGCAATGAAGAAAAATAGAGACTTCTGCGCATTCAACGATTTCGTGATTAGAGGCACGGTGTACAAACACAACCACATTCACAAAATCACATGGATTCGATTTCACCAGACACCAGGATACACTAAAAATCACATCAACTTCATCTCAATCTGAATAAAGTCGACACGCAGCCAACCTACTGGACACAAAATCAAATCAAGAAGGGGAGCAGATGTAGGTTCACACCACTCACCACCTACTGCAAGCAACCTACCTTCTAAATCAAGTTGAAAACCTTCAAACAAGTTGCTGATAGACCACAGTTCCAGTTGAACACCCACAAAAGAAACTGAAGCACGAAACTACAAAGGACAACACGTCAGTCAGTCAACAGGAGAAAATGCAAGACACTGAGCAACATCCCTGAAGACATCTCAGTGGAAGAACAGGGAACTCTTTGAAAGAGATGTGGAAAGAAAACTGCATAATCGAATTACGAAGGAAGAAGATAAGGAATGGATCTCGACAGACACATGGAACATCATACACGACAGGAAGATGATGAAGCATAAGATGAACCAGTGCAAGGGTGCACAACGAAAAGAGGAAAGCAGTACAACCTATGAAACTCTACACTCGACAGAGAGGTGTGAAGAAGAGTGCGCGCAAAAACAAAAAACACTTCCACAACACACTTACAACTGAAGCAGAACAAGCTGCTCGTAGGAGGGACACAGACCTGACAACACTATATCAAATAACCAGCTTGCTTACTTGCTATCTGGGAAGAGATCAACACAAACGAAAACAATGAAAGATAGTGAAGGAAACCTAGTTACCAAACAGGAGAAAAAAAGAAACAACCGGCTGACCACTTATAAAACTCTTCAATCCACCACAACATGCAACTCAGCCAGAATTACCACCACCAGTCCAGCCACAAAACCACCAGTGAACACAAGCCCTCAGACAAAAGTAGAAGTCCTGAAAGCCATAAAGTTGCTGAAAGCCGGAAAACCAGAAAGACCAGGTAGAATTCCACCAGAACCACTCAAAACAGATGCAGAGACAACACATGACAGACAGGCTCACACCACTACTACACAAGGTTTGCAACGAAGGAAGGAACGAAGGAAGGAAAGGTACCCATCTGCCAACTGATTCCAAGAAGGGATACCTTATCAAACTCAAAAACAAAACAGACCTAGGTCTTTGCAACAACTGGCGGGGAATAATCCTCCCGTCCACCCAAAGCAAGCAAAATACTATGCCGCATCATCCTCGAGAGACTAACAGATGCTCTCCATTCAAAACTACGACCAAAATAGGATGGCTGGCTGGCTGCCTGGATTCAGAAAGCAGAAATCATGTGCAAATCAAATTGCAAAGCTACACTACACATCCTCATAGAACAGACCACAGAACACATCGACATTGAAAAGGCCTTCGATACCGTCGACCGACAAGTAATTTGTCAGGCAGCTGCTTCTACACTACGGTTCAAGTGCCACAAACCTTTATCAAACTCATTCAACAACAGCTTCATCCGACGTGATGCCATATACCAAGTGATTCACAATGGAAAGCTCAGTGAACCCTTTGAAGTGAAGACAGGGGACAGGAGTAAGACAACGCTGCCACCTACTATCACCCATGATCTTCCTCATTGTGGTAGAATGCATCATGCAACAAACTGTAAGGAGAGAGAAGATAGCCATACACTGGCTGCACCGATGAAAACACCTAGAACATTTGGATTTCGCCAATGATGATGACTACTTATGTCTAATGTCTTGTTGCACAAACTCGAAGATCTACAGGTAAAAACCAACAAGTTGACAGAAGAGACACGGCAGCGAAAACACAACTTCAAGTGAATGTAGAGAAGACACAGGTGATGAAGATACCCAACCACCACTACCAAACAACAACAACAACAACAAGAAGTAACAATCACCATCAACGGGAGAAACCTAAAGGAAGTTGTCTCTCTCACCTACCTAGGCAAGACAGCAAAGCATCATTTCAACTACAGGAGGCACAGGCACAGGCACACACCACGGTATCACAGCAGCCACGATCAGAAAGACAGCCTTTCATTGATCTGAAATCAATCAGTGTGCAGATCTACTGCACTCAGCATAAAGCGTCAACAACAACCGGATTTTCAACAGCAGTCAAGTTCAGTCAATTCAATGCTTCTGTATAGTATATTTCACAAAATTGGGACGCCACGAAAAGCATTTTCAACAAACTACACACATTCATTCATCAACAGCTACCACCTACGCTTACTCCATAATGAAGTCAATCAGATCAGATCAGATGGCCAGAATAATAAAAATAAGCAATAAGCAACTCTAGCCGAGCAACGAACAAACGAACCGAGAACCTATCACCCAACAAATATGCAGTAGAATAAAGTGGAGATGGATTGGGCATACACTGAGGAGGCCATCCAGAGACATCACGCGTCAGGTCAGGCCCTCGAGTGGGAAACGACTAGTTGGGCGTCTGAGGCAGGGGTGAAATGTAGGAGATTATGTGGGGAAGAAATGAAAGCTTGTGGGCAGTCGTAGAGCCAGGTTCAAAAGACTGCAGAGAAGAGAGTGTGCAATGGAGACATGCTGCTGAAGCCCTATATTCCACTAGGAACCGAAAAGAAGAATAATAATCATAAATAACTGACTCTTATGAACTGAAATATACCTTAGATAAGATGATGAGTTAGAGAATTCTGAACGAATTACACGATTCACTTTATCATCGACTAGTCATCTAAGAAGATATGATCTCTGATAAGACAGTGTCATAATTCTGACGAAATGAACTACTGAACAAGGTGAGTAGCTAGAAAAAGCTTACACTGACCCATTGACACCACAGCTGGATAGTTGGAAAATTAGTCAGCTGCTGGAAATGTTAACCTGAACCGAGTTATGAATAAATAATTTGGGAACTCATCATACTACTTTAGGCAATGATTTCGCTAAATGTATTTTTTTGCTGCGTGATGATTGAAGGTGAAATGAAAATTTGGACCATGGACGGATTCGAAACAGCGACCAATGGGGGCTCCGGGCTGATGTTCTACCAACTAAAGTACGAGGTCCGACTGCTGACTTGAGTTTCTGTTTCATTTCAATCATCACCGTAAACCCAGTGGTTGCTGGTACGAGTCCAGTCACGGTCGCAATTTCATATCACCTTCAATCATCACCCAGTATGAAATACTAGTCTGCGGAACAACGGCTGCTATCTCAGGTAGTCAAAATGATAATCAATTTGATGCTCCTCCTTTCGAACTCAGATTTGGATTGAGATAAGTTCCGACTAGGCAGCCAGTGTCAGTATGATCAAGCGATAGTTACGCATCACAAATTCACATGGTATTCAGACAAAACCCTTGGTAATTGAAGTGAAATGAAAATTTGGTCAGCAGTCGGACCACGTAGCTCAAGTTGGTAGAGCACTGGACCGAAAATCCGGTGGTCGACGGTTCGAAGTCCGCCAAGGTCTAAATTTCTATTTCACCTTCGATCCTCACCGAGTTTCAACACTAGTCTGCCAGAACATGACTATCTTAGATCGTCAAAATTATAAATGTATTTGTGTTATTCCATGGTGTTTTGTCAGCATTATCAATACAACTTTATAAAGTCAGATAAAAGATTTTATGAATGAGGTATTTGAGTTTGGGAACAAAAGCCCGGTTACCATAGTAGTATATAATGTTTATTGTGTTTTTTAAAACAGGGTGACTTTTAAGGCCATCCTAGCAATCATCTAAATAACCGATTCGGTTTCTTCATTTTGGCTGAAAAGGCAGATTTTGATAAAAATAGAGACGTCTGGCTGGTTATTTCAGTTGTTGTTAGGGTGGCCATCAAAGTTACAGGCTATGCAATGTACTTTCATAAATCGATAAGAATATTTCCATTGAGGAAGAAGGTAACAAAGATTTAGGTTGACCAAAATTGAAGAATTCGTTAAGACTAATTCATACCGTCGTTAGCCATTCATTCAATGATGGAATGAACATTAAAGAGGAGAGGGAGAGGATTGTGTAATGTTATTCAAGAATTGATAAAAGCGATATCATGGTTAAGTAAGTGCACTAAAAGGTCGACAGGTTTTCGTTATGTTGATTAATAAAATGAATACAACTCAGAAGAAGGTGAGATTTTCAAATAGATCGATAAATGAAACGAAAAAGCAAACACAGAGGGTCATGAGGTTATGGAATTTTGTATTTACAAATGTAGGAGGTTGAAATTACCCCCAAGGTAAAGCAAGTTTGACAATAGTATTCTTCTGAATACTGTAGATCACGTTTGAGTCATTTAATTGCAACTGCTTCAACAAAGTGAAGCTCTAATGATGGATAGTGGCTAGCAGTGGAATCTAGGATGGGCATCTCATCCTATTTGGGACTCGTCAGCTGGATGTATCTGCTTCCCAGTGAGTGATGTTGTTCCCATTGGGATTCGGACTCGAGAGTGATCACTTCAACTGCTAGAGTGTTATCCACTACACAACCGAGCCACGATAGCAACTTCTTGTCCGACGGGTATAGCTTTTTTTTCAGTATAATTGTTTGTATCACACCATAAAAAAAACTATACCTGCCGCACAAGTGGCTGTCGTGACTCGGTGGTGTATTGGGTAACGTTCTAGTGTTTGAAGCGATCGCTCCTGAGTCCGAATCCTGGCAGGAACAACGTCACCCCTGGGAGGCAGATACATCCAGCTGACGAACCCCAAGTAGGGCGAAATGTGCATCCTGGATTCCACTGCTAGCCATGACCCATCATTACAATAATTAGAACACAAGTAATATCGAGGCATCCGCACAGGAGGTTATATGTCTGTAGAGACCGATCAATTCAGTCCAATCAACGACGGTGTAATACAAGCAATTATACTAAAAAAGTACAGTTCTTCTTGCTTTATTCGACATTCATGAAAGGGTAGAATTGTATGAAATATCTTTTCAAAGAATATCTCACTTGATGTAGAAAGTACTGTTTGTTTGATTGATACTTACAGTGACTAAATGGGGATAGCAATAGACTTGTTTTTGTTCCTTTTCGGCAAAGTAATGGCAACTTCAGCTATTGAAACTATAGAGAAAGCTTAGATATTTTTGTTAAACTAAGATTAGACATTAATATCTTACACTTCAAAATTATATCAACGCTGTGAGGTATGAGTATTGCCAGAGTACAAAACTAATCCTAAATTAAAAAGTTCTCTTTAAGGTGAAAAGTTCTCTAGACTATTGAGATGGTTTACATTTAATAAGTGGATTCACAGGTTTGGTATTCACCACAGTCTGCTATTAGTTGGAGGAACATTGAAAACCTGGGAGTACTGGATAGCAGCTGTTTCGTCCCACTATGGGACTCTTCAGCAGTCCGTACTCATGACCTTTAGGTGATCAGCATTCCGAAACACTAAAAGATACATTTCAGCACTAACGACATAAGTAGTATAAGACGAGATATAGAAAAATTCGAAAAGGAAACCATTATATCATGATTCAATGAGAAACGTTGGTTTCCATTCCTTGATACTAAACAGATAGACAAAATCAACGTAGAACCTTACACATAAGTGCATTCCTTCAATTTCTCACACTTTACATTAGCAAAGTAGACGAAGTTGTCTAAGAAGATAAACAACTTGAAAATAAAAGTCAAGGTTAGTTTAAATATTCAAGATTTAGGTGTGAAACAGTGAATATATCTACGAGATTTATCAGTGATTTTCAGTCATTTTATCAAAACTCCTCAACCATCGATTTCTATCATTTTTAGGGAATCCAGTCAGGTAGTTTACATCTCCTCAAAGATTAGGGACTTCATTGATAAGTGTTATTTCTTCCTTTAGCCATCCCGAACCCTCTTTCTACCGAATCCAACTTCCTATAGCACGGTACATCGAAGTAGGCGGTGGTTTGATAGACACAGTACATATCCAAACTATCTTACAGTCGACGAAGGTTCATAACCTCAACATTACCCATACAGAGATTCCACCAAACGTGACATCTTTGATCAAATACATGGAACCGTTTCATGTCTTGTACTTTTAACGGTTATGTCTCATAGCCATGTATTAGAACAGAACGAACTGCAGTGATATACTCGTTCTTTAACATATAATCGGATATTTCGCCGGACAGCACCACAGATGACGCAAGTTGATAAATGTCAAATCTCCTTGGTAATATAAGGACAGACAGAAAAGATGAATCTCTAATTATGAGGTTAACTGATCTCACCAAAGAAGAAAAAGTAGGGGGGGGGAAAGGGGGGGGGGATTTGATAACACAAACCAACATGAACCGTCAATCAAAAAAAAAGAAGAACATACCTTCACACATATCTTTTCCATCATCTTCTAGTTTATATGAGTTTTTCTTCTTTTTACCTAAAGGAGTAGCTAAAAAGTGGCGGATAGAAACAGGATCTTAGTGTGTGAAACCAATTGAAGTATTAATGTTTTAAGGAAGAGAATCATTTATCTAGTCTAAAAGGATTATCAAACAGCTGCCAACCAGTATTGAAACTACTCCTAAACACCAGGTATGCTCCTCTCTCTAAGGGATTCCATCAGTGTACAGTGTGGGCTGCAAGTAAGCAAAATAATCATTGCATACAAATAGTGATAGACATAATGGGGATGACCAATTAGGGTACACTGTTGAAATCTCTCACCTGGTTTAAGTAATTTTTTTAATTTTCATGCCAGGCCAAGAATTTGGCAAATACTATGACTGTTGATACTTTCAGCTTAACTTAAAAATCACACCAACTGTAATGTTTAACTATACATGCTAAAGTAGTTAAACAAACACTTTCGGTTTCTGAAGCCATGTGTACTGAAGTTCGAGCATCAGTAGGAATACTAGAATTCACTGAAGTTCAGGTACGTTCAGCTGATGAGTCTCAAATAGGGCGAAACGCATGTCCTGCATTCCACTGCTAGCCACCCCATCAACTAAGTAAACTAAAACAGTTAGTGAACTTGAGCAGAAGGGTTTAAGATGGTCTTTTAGTAATTACTTCACTTCGTTTCGATTGCCAGCCGCTTTGAGTTATCTCTGAATAACTTTGTACCGAGGGTAGTATCATTCTTTTATGACGAAATTGCTATTGTCCATTTCCTAGGTAAAATAACCTTTTTCTTTTCGATCGATAATCCTGAAGCTTATCTCGATCTAGTACAACCATTGATGTGACTGATTATCTCCCTTTAAGGAATCAAGGATTTTCAAATTCCTGTATGATGTTCGATGACAATTTAAGCGCGCTGAAGCCATAAAGAAGAATCATAACAGGCATCCATAAAACCTACACAAGAACAGTTTATATGAAGTTTGTTTATTTCAAGAAACGTTTGCTATCCACAAACTGCTTGAAAGCTCATTGCATGTTTACTAGCCAATTTGTTCTCTAACAAGTCTGATATTTAAACATTTCATTTGTCAACATTAATTAATTTCACGGCGGTATTCATCATGGACTGACGTCAGTTGGAGCGATATAGGAGAACTGGTAGGACTAAACAGCTGTTTCGTCCTAGTGTGGAACTCCTCAGTAGTGCGCAACCATCACCCCACCCACCCCAATACGTCAGAACCCAGCACCTTCAGGTTCAGTGGAATCCATGAGTCCATACTACCAACTTCGGTCAAGTCACGATACACCGCGACCTCCATCCAATGCCATCATTGAGTAGTTCTCTTCAGATTCAACTTGGTTGGCCCCACGTATCACTTACGTTCCAAATGTAGCATAAATCAATTTCCCAATTATTTATATTATTATTAGTCCCTTGGGTTCCTAGTGGAACATAGGGCTTCAGTAGCACGCCTCCAGTGACCTCTGTTCTCTGAGATCTTTTGAACCTGGTTCCACGACAGCCCAGAAGCTCTCATTTCCTCCTCGCACGACCTCCTCCATGTCACCCTCGTTTTTGACGTCCAACTCGTCGCTTCCCATGGGGATTCCACTCGAGGTTTTTTTTTTGCCTGACGCGTGATGTCCTCAGTCGGCCTTCTCAGTGTATGCCCAATCCATCTCCACTTCTTCCTTTTGCATATTTGTTGCGTGATAGGTTCTTGTTTTGTTGGTTCGTTCCCAGTTTTAGTTCCTTGTTGCTTATTTTTTTTTTTCTGGCCATCTGATCTTCAGCAGCGAGCTTTTGTAAGCAGTTGTTGATGAATGTCTGTAGTTTATTGGAAATGCCTTTCGTGACGCGCCAAGTCTCTGAGCCATTTTACAAGAGCACTGACTTGACGTTTTTGGTGTTGAAAATCCGTATCTTGTTCCGCATGCTGAGTGCAGTTTTTAAGATCTCCACACTGGTTTCAGGCTAATGAATGCCTGTCTTGCTTTTCCGATTCTGACTTTGACGTCCTCGTCCGTCTTTTTTCCGCCTGTAGTTGAAACAGTGCTTCCTAGATAAGTGAAGGAGGTTACTTCCTTCAAGTTTCTACCGTTGACGGTGATTGGAGTTTGTTGTTGTTGTTGATGGTGGTGGTGCGGTATCTTCATCACTTCTGTCTTCTCTATATTCACCTGAAGTCCCGTCTTAGCTGCCTCCTCTGTCAACTTGTTAGTTTTTGCCTGCAGATCTTCAAGTTTATGTGACATTAGGCATAAGTCATCTTTGGCGAAATCCAAGTCTTCTAGGTTCTTTTCCGTCGTCCAGTGTATCCCCCTCTTCTCGCTGCCTACTGTTTGCTGCATGATCCAGTCCACCACAATTAGGAATATCATGGGGGATAGTAGGCAACCTTGTTTCACTCCTGTCTTCACTTCAAAGGCATCACTGAGCTTCCCATTGTGGATTACTTGGCATGTGGCATCTTCATATAGTTGTTGAATGAGGCGGATAAAGGTTTGCGGTACTCCGTAGTATTGAAGCAGTTTCCAAATTACTTCTCGGTCGACGCTGTCAAAGGCCTTCTCAAAGTCGATGAAGTTGAGGTATAGAGCTGATTGCCATTCTACGCTCTGTTCTATGATGATACGAAGCGTTGCAATTTGGTCAGCACATGATTTGTACTTCCTGAAGCCTGCCTGTTCCGGTCGCAGTTTTGAATCCAGTGCGTCTTTAAGCCTCTCCAGGATGATGCGGCTTAATATTTTACTTGGGGTGGATAGGAGAGTGATTCCTCGCCAGTTCTTGCAAGCACTGAGGTCTCCCTTCTTCGGCAGTTTGACAAGGTAACCCTTCTTCCAATCGTCAGGTACCTTCTCTTCCCTCCACACCTTCTGCAATAGTGGTGTGAGCATGTCCGCTGTTGTCTCTGCATCTGTTCTCAGTGCTTCTGGCGGTATTCCATCTGGTCCTGCTGCTTTCCCGCATTTCAGTAGCTTTATGGCGTTCAGGACTTCCATTTTCGTTGGGGGATTTATGTTCACTTGTAATTCAGCGGCTGCAGGTGGTATTTCTGGACGAAGTGCAGGTGGTGGTTTTTTTTTTCGATTCAAGAGCTTCTTGAAGTGGTCGGCCCATCGTTTCCTCTGTTTCTCTTCTTTTGTAATTAAATTTCCTTCTTCATCTTTTATTGGTTTCATCTGTGTTGGTCTCTTCCCTGATAGCAACCTGGTTATTTGATACAATGTCGTCAGGTCTCTCTTTTTTTTACCTGCAGCCTGTTCTGCTTCACTTGCCAGTGTGTCGTAGAAGTGTCGTTTGTCTTTGCGTGCACTCTTCTTCACTTCTTTATCCAGTGTTTTATACATTGTGCTCAGTTCCTCTTGTCGTTGAGCATCCTTGCACTGGTTTATCTTCTGCTTCACCATCCTCCTCTCCTCTATCAGCTTCCAGGTATCCGTCGAGATCCATTCCTTGTCTTCTTTCTTCTTCCTTCCTAATACTGTTGTGCAGGTTTCTTTCCACATAGCTTTCAAAGACTTCCAGTGTTCTTCTACACAGGTTTCTTCAGGGATGTCCCTCGACGTCTCCCATTTTGTCTTGATGGCTGCTTTGAAGATCTCCTTTGTAGTTTCATCCTTCAGTTTCCGAGTGTTGTACTTGAATTGAGGTCTATCACCAGCTTCCTTGAAGGCTTTTAACTTGATTTCGAAGGTTCCTTGCACTAGATAGTGGTCTGAACCTACATCTGCTCCTCTTCTTGACCTTGTGTTAAGTAGACTGCGTCTCCATTTTCTTGAGATTGAGATAAAGTCGATTTGATTTTTAGTGTGTCCATTTTTCTGGTGAAATCCATGTCGCTTTGTGGATATCCTTGTGCCTGAACACACTGCCTCCAATCACCAAATCGTTGAATGCACAGAATTCTGCAAACAATTCTCCATTCTCATTCATTTCACCTAGCGCCTCTCGACCCATGGTTAGTTCTCTTCCTGTGTTGTCACCTCCCAGTTTGGCATTCATGTCGCCCATTAGAATTTTGATATCGCCAACTGACGTCTTGTCCAGTGTTGACTGAAGTTGTCTGTAGAATTCCTCCTTTTTCTCTTGCTCTGCATTATTTGTAGGTGCATAACATTGTATGATTGTGACCTTTCTTCCTTTTGAGTTGAATCTTGCTGACATGATCCTGGAGGAGATTGGTTCCCACTGCATGAGAGCCTTCGATGCTCTTGAGGACATCATGATAGCCACTCCCTCAGTGTGCTCGTGGTTGGCGTCTGGGTGACCGGAGTAGATTATTGATTCTCCCGTTGACAGTTTGGAGAGTCCACTCCCATTCCATCTGCTTTCGCAAATCCCAAGCACTTCGATGTTATACCTTCTCATCTCCTTTGCAATCTGGGCTGCCTTACTGGGTTCAAACATCGTGCGGACATTCCATGTCCCCACGTTTACTTTCGCTTTCATCGAGAGAAGACACATCGGCCAATTGGCTTCCCGAAGGCTTTCACCAACTGGCGTCATTTCGCCTCTCCGATTCCAGCGGGGAATAAGTTTGTTTTCATTTTTTATATTTTGTTTGTGCTTTGAAGTTTCTTTAGCGGTTAGATTTGTTTTACGGGGTAGGGTTGCTAGCCCTATGCCCAACCTTCCCTCTTTACCCGGGCTTAGGACCGGCTAGTAACTAGTAAACTAGTTAACCAAATGTAGCATAATCAATTTCCCAATTAAACAGAGATATAACCTTGCCTGGTTAACTAGTTCACTAGTTACTACCCGCTAATAAGCCCGGGTAAACACGGAAGGTTGAGCATTCGACTACCAATCTTACTCCCCCCAAAACCAATTCAATACCTTAACAAACTTCAAAGCACAAACAAAATATATAAAATAAAAACAAACTCATTCCTCCCTGCAATCACGGAGACAAAATGACGCCGGTTCGTCAAAGCTTTCGCAAAGCCAGTCGGAAAACGTGTCTTCGCTTCTCTCGATAAAAGAGAAAGTTACAATGGGCACATGGAATGTCCGCACAATATTCGAATCAACCA